CATTCTTTTATTAAGCTTTTCATTTTTGCTAGTATATTTTCAATTTCTAAGAACTCTTTTTTAAAGTTTATTTATTTATTTTTTTAGTAATCTTTACCCAACACGGGACTCAAACTCACAACCCCAAGATCAAGAGTCACATGTTCTTCCAACTGAGCCAGCCAGGCACCCTGCTAAGAACTCTTTTTCTGATCTTTTCATTTTTATAGTATTTTGTAAATTTTATAGTACTATTTGATAGTATCCTATGTTTTATGATATGCTATTCAAAGTTGAATATCTTGTCTTGTTTCTCTGGTGATATTGGTAGTTGTTGGGTTTTTTGCATTTTTTCCTCTCTGCATAATCTGTTTCCTCCAAGTCCCCCTGCCCCATTTGTTGCTTTTGTTTCTATCTTTCTTATTGAGACTTTACTGATGTCTAGTAATCCTCAGTGGTCTCTACATATTTGGGAGTGGAAGTCCAAAACTCTAGAAGTGGTGGGCCTCTGATTACAAGAGCAGGGTTGTTGAATGAACTTCACAGTAGATGATCTGTCTGGACCATTTTTGTTGTGGATTTCCCAATGTCAGTATTTTCCTGTCTTTTATCTTAGTCATATACCTATATATATGTAATACATATATATGCGTGTGTATATGTCATATACATATTATATATGTAATGTTTTTAATATAGCAAGGAACAAGGAAAACAAACACTGAATCATGATCTCCCTGACAAAATAACCCTTAATGATATGAAATTAAAAGACATTCATTCAGGGGCACCTGGCTGGCTCAGTTGGGAGAGCATGTGACTCTGGATCTCTGGGTTGTGAGTTCAAGTCCCACATTAGGTGTAGATTACTTAAATAAATAAATAAACTTAAAAGAAGAACTCATTCATTCATCCATCCATCCAATAAGTATTTATTAAGATTTCCTTGCACCAGGCACTGGGCTAGGCACGGAGGGTATGGCAGTGAACAAATCGAAGTCCTTGCTCTCTTGGACCTTCCATTCCAGTCTGGGAGACAGACACATGTGTGTTCCTAGAGCATCGGTCTCCAATAGCCCTCTCTGCAATGAGAGAAATGTTCTAGATCTGTGCAATCCCATGTGGTAGCCAAGCAGTTCCTGGTCATTTGACATGTGGTTGGTGTGACTAAGGAACTGAATTTTTAAATTTTTTTGAACTTTTAAATTTTAATTAAAAATTCAAATTCAAATAGCTCTATGTGGCTAGTGGTTACCACCATGGACAGCACCAGAAAATTCCATCCTTACAGAGGGGTAGGAGGGAATTGGCAGCCTCACATGGTGTTGTCTGGCTCACACACCACATGTGGTCTCATCCTACCACAGAGGGCAAACAAGCTCACAAGAAGAGAAAGGAAATACATCTCTTAAAAAGAAATACAGAAACACGGCTTCTCCTCCCAGCCAGTTCTGGAAGCCCATTTGGTGAGAGATGTTCAATTTCTCAGTCACACAGGAAGGGCAAAAAAGGAAACCTCAAGTCCCCTTTCCATAAAGTAAGCATTTTTTTTTTTAATTTCTCTCTGATCACCTAAACTATGTGTGCATACACACCTCTTTATGCATTCCTTACTGAAAGCACACACTGTTCTCATCTTGCTTTTTCCATGGAGAAAAAGCTTTTGGCATCTCTTCCATATTAATGAAGTCTTGCCTCCCAGCTCCATGCCTGGCCCAGAGAATGCCCATCTTGAAGCAGCCTGAATTCATTCATTGAGCTATACTTTATGAAACACCTGTCATATGTCAGGTGCTATTCTAGACCCCGTGGATACAGCAGTGAACCAGACAGACAAGACCTGTTCCCTCATGGAATTTAAATTCCAGTGGGAGGAGATGGACCATAAACTTAATAACCAAGAACACATTATAGTTACAAGGGGATACGTGCTATGGACAAAAATACAGCCGGGTGAGTGAGTTTGGGAGACCTGGGGAAAAGGCCACAGGTTGCAGTATTAAATAAGGTGCTCAGGACGGTGTCTTTTAAGCAAACACTTGAAGGAAGTGAGGGACAGAGCCAGGCAGCTATCTGGAAGAATGTTCCAGCAGAGGGAACAGCCAGTGCAAAGGCCCTGAGGCAGGAGGGTGCTGGAACCATCCAGGAACTGCGCATGAAGGCCAGGGTGGCTGGAGCAGGGTGAGCAAGGAAGGCATGGGTGGGAGATGAGGGCAGAGGGGTAGGAGGGATCCAGGGGTGTTTGGTGCTGTAGGGCCTTGTAATGCGAAGTAACTCCAGTTACTGAGTGAAGTGGGGAGCCAGGGGAGGGTAGCGAGCCGAGGAGGAACCAGAAGCTGACTCAAATGTTAAGATCCCTGTGGCGACAGGGCAGGAATAAACAGGAAAGCAAAGACAGATGCAAGGATTTTTCATTTTTCCCAAACCTAAGCCTAAACAAAGGGTGTGGAATGTGGCTGAGTCTCGGTAGAGGTTTAGTGACAATGGCAGGGGATAGGGAGTAGGGGGTAGGGGAAGGGAGGTAGGCATTATATTGCATAAGGACTGAGCAAAGGATTAAAAGTGAAGGCTCGGGGCGCCTGGGTGGCTCAGTTGGTTAAGCGACTGCCTTCGGCTCGGGTCATGATCCTGGAGTCCCGGGATCGAGTCCCGCATCGGGCTCCCTGCTCGGCGGGGAGTCTGCTTCTCCCTCTCCCCCTCCCCCCTCTCATGTGCTCTCTCTCTCATTCTCTCTCTCAAATAAATAAATAAAATCTTTTAAAAAAATAGAATAAAAAATAAAAGTGCAGGCTCTTTAGATCCCCTCTTCCTGAAAGCCCCTCAAACCTCCCCGCCACTGGAAGCCTTGATTTTTGGCCCTCTCTGCAACGCCCCCTGGTCTGTCCCCCCACCCCACATACCTCTCCCTTGTGCCCCTCGAGGACCTCTGGACACCCTCCTTCCGTTTTATTCTAGTTCTCAGCCCCTCCATCCCTCCTCTTCAGCCTGACTCTGGAAACCCCCAGCTCTTTCCACTTAAACTGGGGAAGCAATTCACCTTTTGCTCCCAAGGGCATTTTCCTAAACAAAGAGAAACCTAGAGAGAAATTGTAGTTTGCCTGCAAGGCAGTGGTGCCCGCAGCTGGTTGTGGTATTTTTCTTGCCTCTCTCTCTATATATATGTTTCCAGATGTCAGCTGGGATCTCCCTGCCTGTTAGGAGCCATATAAAATTAATTCAAACCCCATTCTCCAACCATGCGATGGTGACTGGTCTCCCAGTTTCTGGAGGAGTTTCTGCTCCTTCTCCAGAGCCTCAAATTCTTTGCCCCACCCCCAAGTTTTTGCTTCGGCTGGAGCCCATTCAGTGTGGGGAATCTGCTGACTGTCTCCCCATTTGGGGTCCGTGGACTAATTCTGTCCTTTTCCTTCATTTCTCTGCAACCAGTCATGTTGCAGAAATGCAACAGGGCATTTATGTGCTCATGTGTGAGAGTGTGGACAGGGCTTTACTGAAGATTTGGGGTCCCAGAGGCATTTACACCCACAGATAGGCAAACAGCTCCAAAACTCCTTTGCCTTCTCCACGACCCAGCTTCCAGCCACAGGCCTTGATCTCTCTTGTTTTCCCCAGACCTTCGCTGTCCAAGACTATTTAAATTTAAATTAATTAAATTTTTTTAAAAGATTTTATTTATTAGAGAGAGAGAGATAGTGAGAGCAGGAACACAAGCAGGGGGAGTGGGAGAGGGAGAGGGAGAAGCAGGCTTCCCGCCGAGCAGGGAGCCCCGATGCGGGGCTCGATCCCAGGACTCCAGGATCATGACCTGAGCCGAAGGCAGACGCTTAACGACTGAGCCACCCAGGTGCCCCTAAATTAATTAAAATTTAAAGTTCTGTCCCTTGGGCTTATTGGGCACGTTTTTGTGTGGCTGGTGGCCGCCACGTTGGGCAGTGCAGGAGGGCCATGCCCATCATTGCGGAGCGTTCTTTCGGACAGTGCTGGGCAAGACAGATCCCTCCCTCTAAGAACTGGCCTGGTGTCTGCAGTCGAGATGACCAAAATTGCACCCCACAAAAGGCACCGTTTAAAAAAAGGTAATGTGGAGTTATGCTGTATATGGGATTCCCAGACTTTTTTTTTTTTTCTCATGGATACAGCCTGGACATCTTCATGTCAGATCATAGGCATGTATCTTGTCTCATAGAATAGTTACCCAGTGTTCCCCGCCACGGGCTTATTTATTCGCTCATTCACTTATTCCACAACTATTTACAACCACCTTGTATGTGCCAGGAATTGTGCTGGGTCACAGCCTGGAGTGTGTTCCAGCTGGATCCTGCTCGAGTGGAGCTCACAGTCTCATCGAGAGGCTGAGATTAATCAAATAATCACAGAACTATGTGTGAAGGAAGCGACAGGTGGCGTGTGCCACAATGTATCCATCTGTGAGCGCTCATTCCGTCTCCCTGCTTGTCTTCCCATCAAGGTTTAGAAATTAGGGCCTAGTGGGAGAACCGAAGCAAAGTAAGATGCGTGTCTGGGCCTGCATTTCCCATCTGAATGATGGAGATAACAGTTTCTACCTCACAGGAACGTTGAGAGGATTGAATGAGTTAGGACTGTGGCTGGAACAGTGTCTATAGCACAATATAAGTGATCGTTAGCATTATTACTCTGTGTATGAGTCCCCTTTCTGAGCCTCAGTCCTCCCCTATAAAGTGGAGGAGTATGCAGAACCTTCTGGGGAGGGCTTCCGTGAAGACTGAACGGATCAGTCACGGCTAACATGTCTCCAGCACTTTCTTGGCACCAAGCGCCATCTTACCTTTTTGCAATGACCAGGAAGGGAGGTATTGCTGTTATCCCCACTTTACAAATCGAAACCCAGGCACCAGGAAGAGGTACAGTGACTTGCTCAAGAGTTTACCACTGGTCAGGATTTGGAGCAGTTGGAGGTTAGGGGGGAGGGGGGTTCTGGGCCGGGCCATGAGGGCATCTGGGTGGGACTGACCCTGCCTTTCATGCCCCCTGGCCCCCAGGAAGCTGGACGCCTTCATCTACGATGCAGCTGTGCTCAACTACATGGCCCGCAAGGATGAGGGCTGCAAGCTCGTCACCATCGGCTCGGGCAAGGTCTTTGCCACAACGGGCTACGGCATCGCCCTGCACAAGGGCTCCCGGTGGAAGCGGCCCATCGACCTGGCGCTGCTGCAGTTCCTGGGGGATGGTGCGCTGCACACAGGGATGCCTCGGGGGTGGGGCGTGAGGGACCAGAGCCCTGGGTCCTGGGCAAAGGAAGGGATGAGGATCAGGACACCAGGGTCCGAGGGAAGAGGGGGCTGGGCGCCTAGACTCCTGTAAGAGGATCCTCGGGACGGTGCCCGTGGAAGGTGACCTGTGACAGCCCTCCCCCCGCCCCCCTTTCTCCAGATGAGATCGAGATGCTGGAGCGGCTGTGGCTCTCCGGGATCTGCCACAATGACAAAATCGAGGTGATGAGCAGTAAGCTGGACATCGACAACATGGCAGGTGTCTTCTACATGCTCCTGGTGGCCATGGGCCTCTCCCTGCTGGTCTTCGCCTGGGAGCACCTGGTCTACTGGCGCCTGCGTCATTGCCTGGGGCCCACCCACCGCATGGACTTCCTGCTGGCCTTCTCCAGGGTAGGGGGGAGAGAGGGAGGCAGGAGGGCAGAGCCGGGCCGGGGAGCCAGGCGGGGATGCCTACAGGTGGAGGAGCCCTGGGTCGCGCTGCGGGAGAGGTGGGAGGGGCGGAGGGAAGGCAGGCGGTCCCGGGCATCCGGCGCTGACCCCGCTTCTCTCGCGGCGCCCCCGCAGGGCATGTACAGCTGCTGCAGCGCGGAGGCCGCCCC